TGCTCCCTGTTCTGTAGGGTAGTTACAGTCTCAGACACTCAGAGGGGGCAGTTGCTCCCTGTTCTGTAGGGTAGTTACAGTCTCAGACACTCAGACGGGGCAGTTGCTCTCTGTTCTGTAAGGTAGTTACAGTCTCAAGCACTCAGAGGGGGCAGTTGCTCCCTGTTCTGTAGGGCAGTTACAGTCTCAGACACTGAGGGGCAGTTGTGCCCGGTTCTGTAGGGCAGCTCTGAGATGGCACTGCCTTGAGGGCAGTGAGTTTGAGAGAGAGAACATTGTTAAGCCTGAGGTTAATCTCCTAAAAACAATATCAGGTACATGCCTGCTCAGCTAAGTGGGCCTGTCCAGAATTTCCTAAAACTTGTCATGTCGGGAACGTATCAGATTGACCCTAAGCAAGCAATTTAGGGATTAAAGTCATTCCTCGCCAATTAGGAAGGTTGTTGAAAACTCTCAGGATAGGTTGATCAGTGGCTGAGGAAGATAACTATTTATGGTGGAAGACAGCATTATGGGGCCCTTCAGTGGGTGTGTGTGGGTGTCAGGCGAGGTCAGAGTTATGGAGTCTGGGTTTTGTTGTTGTTTGGTTCCTACTGACAAATTGAGAAGACAGTTGTCAGGCCTGCCTTCTGAGGCACCTCTGAGTGGATGCAAATGGCAGTACCGAGCATATTAGCAGTTTGTGCCACACGCCCAGGGTCTCCGTCACAATCAAGTTGAACCACTACATGCCTCTGAGGAGCGTGAAGCCCCTTTTGTGTGCCCAAGGCTGGGAGCACAGAGCATCCGAAAGATGTGGTTCAGCCCTCTGCCCTAGGTAGGTACAACGGTGTGTCATACAGGCATCAGGGGTTGGTCTAGGAGACTAGGCCCAACGTCTGCTTCCCTCCCCTTTTGCACCCAGACTGCTCTCACTGATACTCTGGACCTGCCTGCTCTTCCAGTGCAGTTCTTGGACAAGGGTTGTACGTGCCCTCTCAGCATGGCTCCAACCTGAGCTCCAGGCTATTCCTGATGGACTGCCCAGCCCACTGTGAGCCTGCTGTGTGTGCTGTGGAGCAGTCCCCTCAGTGCACTGGGATGGCCGAGGAAAACCACCCAGAGCAGCGGTTCTCAACCTGGGGGGCGTGACCCCTTTGGGGTAGAATGACCCTTTCACAGGGGTGCCCCGATTCATAACAGTAACAAAATTACAGTTAAGAAGTAGCAACGAAAATAATTTTATGGTGGGGGGGTCACCACAACATGAACTGTATTAAAGGGTCGAGATTTTAGGAAGGTTGAGAGCCAAGTGCTTCCACATTGTCATCAGGGCTCCTCTTTCCGTGCTCTACCACAAACCAGGGAGTTGTGCCCTTTGCTTCCGGTTCCTCATGGGGAATGAAGCTACTTGGTTTCCCTGTGGATGCAGCTGTGTGATGGGCTAAAGAAAAGTTAAGATTTTGTGATTTTTGTTTTTCCAACTGCCTACATCCTACATGTAACTTCTTTAAATCAAACTTCCCCTTCTTCCAACCAGACTAGGTCTCTCTCTGCTCTCTGAATAGCTGCAGGTCTTTATTAGCACCACTATTATGCACTCATACTTTTTACTTATAATAGCTGTACTGGATGCATGCAAGGTTTCTGTGAGCAAGCTGTTGGGGAAGTTCCTAAGGAGAAGTGAATGGTTAGAAAACTTAGATTATTGTAAACCAGTGTTTTTAAAGTGGGCAACACTACCCCTGTGGTGGTGGGGAGGTGAGTGTGGGGGCTGGACAGGGGCTGAAAAAACAGCTTCACTTTATCCTGGATTTGGGGCTATACCAAAGTTTTTAATTGCCAGTAGGATACCAAGTAATTTTTATTTTTTCTGAAAAGGGAGCAATAGGCTTAGTGTGAGAACCTGTACTTTGAGCAGAGACAGGTCAGAGTAGCGGTGGCTTTTCATTTACTTAAAAATCTTATCCACATAAGAGCATGTGGTAATATACACCATCCAGAATTGGATGCCGCATTTGTATTAGGACACTGTTCACAACACATTTTGAGTAGACGCACATTCCTCTATAGCAGATTCTATTTTCCTAAAGATTTCACGATGATATTCAAGAAGCGCTTCTCTAACAGGAAGTCCTCAGCAAGTGCAATGGGGAAAGCTTTCAAGGCACAGTGACCAAGTGAGGCGACAGATTTGTGGGCAATCACTAGCATACTGAAGCCAGAGAAGGGTTTTCCAGCTCTAGACTGGCTTGACCCTTTAAGCTGAGGAGTAACCCGTGAATGCCAAGGTCTCCTTCTGTCCTGGTTGTGGGTCAGGATAACTTTGGTTACATCATCACAGAAATGCCAGGCGTTAGGACTTTTAGGCCAGCATATGATGCATTCTAATGCAAAAATATCCTAGAGGGCCCACATATAGGAATTACAGTTTAAGTTAATGTAAAATTTCCCTTTTTGAAATGATTGAACTCACCCCTATTGGCCACACATTCTTCATCTATCCCATTCATTTGCCACCTGTGCCGATTTTAGATCACCAAAAAGGCTTTGGGTCTTTTCTTGCACAGACGGCAGGTAGAAGAACAGTATTCACCTGTTCGGACTTACCTACAAATTTATCTTGAAGATACACTGAGGAACTGATCTCTTTGGTGATCCTAGGCCTGTTGTAATGAACAACTGAACAACCCTATGAAAGACTTACATTGAGCAATGCCTTTAGTAATGTAGGAGGGTCTGCTTGATGAATCCGTTCTTTCTTTACCAGCTGATAATTTGTTGCCCAGGTTTAAGAATGCCTTTTCCGCACTTCTCCCAGTTTTGTATGATCTTTTTGGCCAAAAGCTTGGCTCATGGGGGTTTCCAGCATTCTTATTTCTAGGCACTGAATTGTGGTCTCTCTTCTCATGGTGAATAGGGATCGGGTGGGACTTGTTGATTTTTTTCCCCACAATGCTTTTAAGTCACGTTTCTAAAGGAACCAACAGAGGAAGCATCTTTTGAGTGGATAAGAGCAGGGAGGTTTCCTTATCCCCATGAAGTCCCAGGGGCCAGACTCTCGTGTATGTCCGTGTATGGATGTTTGACTACATACCTCCCATTCCTGCCTTTAAAATGCTGTCCTGGGGGAATACGTGCTGATCAATCAATTTGGTTGGTCTTTTCAGTTGAGAAGTGGTCAGAAGGAACGGTAGCAGAGAAGAAACAAGAAGTTGTGAAAGAACCAGAAAGACCAGCTTCAATTTCTCCCGAACCTGTCATTACACGGATGGAAAAATCTACAGACACCCAGGAGGATAATATAACTGGACCACTATTTAGCAGCAAAACCACCCAGTTTCCATCAGTGCATGCTGAACTCCTGAAGTCGGTGGATGTCTCTGAAGTCTGTTCTGATGCATCTACCAAACCACCCACTCCTAAGGCTGCCACCCCGCCCCAGTCACCAGCATCAGAAGCTGTCCCGCAAGAATTTGCCTATGTCCCAGCTGACCCAGCTCAGTTTGCTGCCCAGATGTTAGGTAACATTCCATCTGTTCATTCCGAGCAATCTGACGTTTTAATGGTGGATGTGGCCACAAGTATACCTGTTTTTTCTGAGGAGGTGCTGAGAGTAGAGGCTTCTGAAGACAATGTGGTGCCTTGTCCCGTTGCGTATTCTGGAGAGGTGGCAGAAATACAGGCTGTGAGCCAAACATCTGTCCATGTACATACAAGTCCTAGCCCCAAAGACCATCAGCCCAAACGACCAACCAAGGCTTCCTCAACCCCCTTGCAGGATGAACAAGAACCTCCTGCTTATGACCAAGCTCCTGAGGTCCCTTTTCAGGCTGATATTGAGGTTACATCAACCCTTCACATAGCATCTCTCTATAATGATGTGCCTGTGACTGAAGGAGTGGCTTATGTCGAGCAAATGCCAGAACAAATTGTTATCCCTTTCACTGACCAAGTGGCTCACCTTAAAGAACCTGAGCAGTCACCACCAGCTACTCCACCTGTAGCATCCAAGACAGCCTCGGGCATGTCAGCCAAAGCTGTCGAGGCTGAACCACCTGTAGAGGTGGAGGACAAAAAGCGCAGGTCCTCAGTACACGTGGAGGCAGAAGGAACCATTCTGCTCTCTGACTCCTCTTTGAAAGAGCTGCAAGAGGTGGCAGCACACACTCGGCACAGAGAGGGCTCTGTCCAGCCACAGGGGTCTCAGAAATCCCTCATCCTTGAGATGAAGGTCAATGCTGTAATCCCCAACAGTACTGGGCAGGATGAGATCTGGGAAAACACTGCTTCCCTGGAGATGGAGGTCCAACCCTTGCCCTCTGAGGGACCTGCCAAAGACGTGCCCTCAGGCACCTCTGTTAGGTCATCTAGTGGGCCCCCTCATCCTGCTCCCGAAGGTCTTACAGAACCAGACACCGAAGCAGAAGGGGACGCAGCACCCGAACAAGGTTTGGTGGAGCCAGGTAAGAACATCAGATGCGTACCCCGTTGCACATTGCATTTCAGGCGGCCTCTCCATTCCAGGGAACCACAGAGGTAGACTTCCTGCAAGCGGGGGCCAAAGGCTTTATTTTCACTCGTGTCCAGAGTGCCACACCGACTTAAATGCTTTGCTGTGTTGGAGATTTTACTCTCGTGAGATGAGTGATTTTGAAGCGACATCTCTGAAGTGCGGCCATCTAGCACTTGTGCTGTGGTTACTGTTGTCGAGAGCAACCAGCGCCTGGGCCAGGCTCCAGAGAAATCACATTTGGTGCTCACATCAGGGGCTGTTGGTTTGGAATGATTCACTTGTGAATGTAAAATCAAACTACAGCAATGCGTTTACGCAGCTTGTGGTACTTCACCCCCCTCCCCCCCTTTCAGGAGAGGAGGAGGAGGGTGAAAGAAATGGTGGTGGTTGACTGCTTTTGCACAGAGGCCGGGGAGCTCTGCAAGCAGGTGTGGGCGCTGGGCCGGCACAGAGATTCTGCCTGGGACCTTCTGCCGCGGAGGGAGCAGCCGCATAGCTGGATGGAGACTGGAGCGGTCAGGTGGAACTTGTGTCACACAGGGGACCAGCGGGGGTGGGTGAGCAGCAGAGAGGATGGCCAGGCACTTGAGCCAGGGTGGATACAGGTCAGCTGATTGGCTTGCTTTGGTCCCCCGGCTGTGTGTCCAAGCCAAGCTGCTTTCCTAGCTGCTGACCAGCCATCACTGACCCCTGTGGGACAGACACGAGTTGACCTCCCTCTCCATCTAACTGTGACCTTTGGCTGCCTAACCCTCTGGCCTCACCTAGGCGCCCGCAGGGCCTTTCTCTCCCTGAGGAAAATGGGCATGCCTGGGCCAGTCTCCCGTTCCTCCTGCAGACACTCTCGCAGCTTCGACTGGCGGCAGAGCCAGAAAGATGAGGAAGCATGAGCAAAGCAGGTGTTTCGAAAAGACTAAATTCTGTCTGGCGGTGTGATGGGGATCCTGGACAGCTGAAAAAGGCCGAGGGCAGAGTTGGGGGTGTGGCCTGTGGGACTGACATGATCCTTATGGCTCAAGCAGCGATTCCATCCCAAGTCCCTGTTTCCAAGCGTTGAGCCTGAGCACTGAGCGCTCACTGAGTCACAGCTGCCACCATCGCTCCCTTTGAAAAACCAGACTTGGCTTGTGCAGATTTTCTTAATAAGCTTACCGAAAGATCAACTGAAAATATCTGAAGCTATTGAAACCAGGACTTCTTAATCATGTGTATAGTGCCATTTTCTTTTCTGGGAAAACCAACCAACCAACCGAAAACACAAGCACACATGCAAAAAGGCCCTGTGCTCCAAGGTGACATCAGCCCATGGAAGCTCCAGGAAAGGGGCTTCTCTCCAGCGTCCCATCATCTGGGATCAGTTCCCCAATCCAGTACTGTCTTCTTTGGGCAAGGCACACTTGACATTGCAGCTTCCTGGGTGCGAGTGGACGGACGGCTTGCCAAGAGCGCTGCAGCCCCGCAGGCCACCCAGCCCTCTGCTGCCCCCAGGACTGTAATCTCAAAGCCTGCCCATAATGAGGGGTACTCTCTGGGGTTCTGAGTCCTAGATTTTGGTGAGAAATTAATGGGCGATCATGGCGCCTGTGGAGGGCCAGAGATGAGTATGTGCACAAAAGCTGACTTTTGCCAGTAAAGGAAAAACAATCACTATGCAGATGCATTAACCGCCCCCTGCCCCGTTTTCAATAGCTCGACAGATTCTTCAGTTGATTTTTTTGTGGTTGGTGTAATGCCTGCCGTTCCTAAGGACCGCGCCAAAGCCAGGTCTAGGTGGAAGTGCCTGGAAACAGCAGCTTCGAATGCAATTGCTTCTTCAGCCACAACTGTAGTGTCCCTGCCACTTGCTATCACAACAACACTGTCCTCGCTTTTCAACTGTGGAGAATCGCCTTTGTTTCTGTCACATGACCAAACACAATTTACGTAGCCCTCTCTATAGCATGCTTTATGGCACATATGACTACAGTTGTTTATATGTTTAAAAAAAAAAGACTTATAAAGACATTTTTGTGCATAGCGCCTGATACAGAGACCAAACCTTTAATGCCTGCAAATTTTTATTTTTATTTTATAGCCATAGCAGCAAGCGAAGCAGGACAACCACCACCATATTCTAACATGTGGACCCTTTATTGTCTAACTGATATGAATCAACAAAGTCGCCCATCGCCACCACCTGCGCCTGGGCCTTTCCCCAAAGCAGCCCTCTATTTACCTAACCCCAAGGATCCGCAGTTCCTGCAGCATCCACCGAAAGTCACTTCTCCGGCTTACGTGATGATGGACGACAGCAAGAAGAGCAGTGCCCCGCCTTTTATCCTAGTCGGCTCCAATGTGCAGGAAGCACAGGATTGGAAGCCTGTTCCGGGACATGCCGTTGTTTCCCAGGCAGACGCCTTGAAGAGATTTGCTGCAGTCCAAGTGCCCATTGCTGTTCCCGCAGAGCAGAAATTCCAGAAACATAGCCCCAACCCCCAGAATGCTAATTTGCCTACGAGTGGACCAGATGGCCCCCGACCACAAAGCCCAGTGTATCTTTCTGTTGCTTTCCCAGTAGAAGATGTAGCTAAAAAGAGTTCAGGATCTGGTGACAATCGTACTCCCTATGGGAGTTACGGTATTGCCGGGGAAATTACCGTGACGACCGCCCAAGTGCGCAGAGCAGAAACATAAAGCCGGTAGGTCCATGGAGAGATTAAAAAGAAAAAAAATTAAATCAAACTGCTATAGTAGGCACTGAGCTGGGGTATCGTCTACTTGGACATGGTTGTTGTCTTTCTGGCTGCTCCACCACCCGTGTCTGATACACAGCAGACGCACTCCCCGCCCCCAGGATTCAGTGCCTAATGGGGGAACCAACCAGCCAGTCAACTCAGCCACCTTCGAATCCTTGCTCTGTTGTCTAGCACAGTGGCAGAGGCTGAATGAGGGTGGGAAAATATGTCAGTATTCTATTCTGATCATCTAATTGGCATGATTAACAAGGGGGAGAAATCCAGGTGGGGCATGAAGTGGGAGCAGTGGGGGGAGTAAGGGTTCCGGATTATATGTGGAGCACTTGCCCCATGAAAGGCTATAAAGGCCCAGACAGGTTGGGCAGACATTGAGAGAGGGGTGGTGACAAATGGAGTGAACTGTGGAAAGGCCGTTTATTATCCAGCCAGTCTTCAAACCAAGTACGCGGCTTACCCTGCCCATCCCGCCCCTACCTGTGGATGGTGCGAGTGAGCAAAACATGAAATCGATACTCTCATGGGGAGAGAGACACAAAAGCAATTACAATGCAGAGGAGGAAAACGTTACCATGTGACTGGGTTGTGCAGGCATGTTCTCAGTGTGGCGGCCCTGTGGAGATTGGAGAGGTGGGAAGTATGTAGCCAGGGAGCGGATCAGAGATGGAGCTGGAGAGGTTAGAGGGGCGAGGGGAGAGATTCGGACTGAGCATTCCATGGGAATCCAGCGTCAATGTTTTCAGAATCATACAATCACATTTGCTGATTAGAAGTCAAACATGAGTAGAGAAAGCAGGGAGACAAGTTTAGGTGCATGTACTACAAATGTACATCCACACCAAGGAGTCTAGGTGCTTGGAAGAATCCATTGTACTTCCAGGTTCTGAACATCCCAGAGAGACAAAAGCCAAATTTCCTTCCTGAGGGCGAGCCCTACAGTTGCTAGATGTGAGACAGCCAGTGCTCAGTTAGCAAGACGTCTTGGGGCTGAGTGTACCTGGGCCGCCTCCACAGTGAATTCCTTCCTCCTCCTCCTGGCGAGTTGCTGTCCCCAGCTGAGTGCTGGGCTGTGACTGCAAATGCTCAGCTGATGAAGCGGGTTAGGGGGGCTTAGTGACAGCTCTTGATGTTGGGTTCTGGCCTGCCACCTGTGCCATATTGTGACGACATCTCATTGTTCCGAACAGATGCCGAAAATGCCAACTGAGTCGACATTCCAGGTGGAGTCTCCAGGCAAGCATAATATTTCAATAAACTTCATGCAAGCATAAACCTGGTATTCTCCTTATTTTTCATAGCATTTAGAACAGCGGTTCTCAACCTGTGGGTCATGAGCCCTTTGGGGGTGGAACAGTAGCAAAATGACAGTGATGAAGTAGCATCAAAAATGTTATGGTTGGGGGTCACCACCACATGAGGACCTGTATTAAAGGGTCGTAGCATTAGGAAGGTTGAGAACCGCTGATTTAGAAGATAACCCAACTGATGTGCCAAGCAAGGGCACTTTCAGACTCATGTACACACTGTTGCGTTAAAAAACCACCACCCCTTGTTAGACACCATCCATGCCCACTCAGTAGATCTAGTCACGGGTTTCATGCCTTCTCAATTGGAGCAGCATATCAAGTAAGGCCGGTGGAAGGCCTATGTCACCCTGCACTTACCCCGAGTTCTCTCTCACCCTCAGAGACGGGGGCACCGAAACACTTCTCTTGAAGAACATTCTTGATAATGGAGGGCCGTATTAAGGGGCAGCATTAGTATATCTGACATTTCAAAAGAAACCACACATTTGGGAAACATTATATAGCCTTTATTTAGCATTGCGTAAACAATTTCATCATAACACTTATTAACTTTAAGACAGCAATTAAAATAATTTACTGGCAGCTACCTAAGGCCCCTTGAGTATCTTCAGTTTGGGGTTTGCGTGAGTAGATAAATACCTTAAGATTAATGTACCCCAATTAAAGAGGCCAAGCTACTGTACAGTAAGTTTCCATACAGATTTTTAAGTACACAGGTGCCTTGCAAACTTGAAATGCACAAGACCCCCTTTTATATGGTTTGATACTTACATACATGAGTGCAACTTGATTCTCTGGCAGCACCTGCCACCAGAAACTGAAGATGTTAAAAAAGTGTCATTATGGAATGCAGATGCTGAAATTCTATGTTTCTAGGGCCTTTCTGTGAACTACTAGGTTTTACGTGATATATATTTTCAATTCAAACGTGTACAAGTTCAGTGATCTTTTAACTCTAATGACATTGATTAGAGGCCATTGTAAAAGTAAATTCACAGCACGAAAATAGAGGAAAGAGCTTTTCCAGTTTAATTCTTTAGAATTTTAAAGTCAGGAATCTCTATTGTGATTATTATTATTCAGGCGTTTGTTTCGTGTGGGCGGCAAGAATGGGCCACATGAGCATGACGAAAGGCCGACTTGTCGCCTGAGTCCGTGCAGAATGACGCGCTCCTCCGCAGGGGCACTAAACGGAGTGCCCGAAGTCTACACGTTTCACACTTACATCTACCACATTCAGGCATGGATGCATGAAAATGTTCAAAATAACTTAATTTGGGACCACTGTGGAATTCATCAAGCTAATATGTTCAGGGTACCAGTCCTCAGGAAATACGACAACAGAAGCCAGAAACAGTGTCTCTCCTGGCAGTTTATCTCCCCATCAGATAAAAGCTTCCAAGGGCAGACCGATCTGTTCTTCCTGCGAATCTCATCACCATTCATCACCATCCATGAGCAACCTTATGCCTTACTGGGCCAAATGCAAGCTCTAAGTAGGCTTTCTTTTCTCCCCCAAAGGATGAGTAGAAATCAAGAAAAAAACAAAGTTTTTTTAAAACATAGGTTTAAGACATATTTTCAATTAACCAACTGCCTTGACCTGTCTGCATTTTAATAAATGTCAGGCAAATTGAAGTAGCTTCTGTCCCAGTAGCTGCCCGAGTAAAGCCAGTCCTGCGCGCCGTTGTAGGGATTGGGGCCTTGATGGAACCACCTGTAAGAGAAAGGGCAAGATTTAGGGGGAAGTGGCTCAAAGTCAGATGATCGGCTGCATGACTCATTTGCACTGCCCCATAGATTTTCAGAGAGACTGGAAAGTGATACCGCTTTCCACTTCAGGGAAATGTGTGAGACCAACATCCCAAAAGACGGGAAGCACATGCACAAAGTGTGACCCAGGCCCCGCAGCGTTCAGCAGCGCCGTGAAACAGAAGTGAGACCTATCTGTCGGCTTACAGGGCCAGCAGGACCGTATAGTTATCAAATCCTCTCATGCTCGCGCCCTCCTCCTCTTCAATGACAGGCCATCCTTTGAAGCAACTCCATAAAACTAGTTTTACTGTCTGGATCATAGTATATGCTCCCAGTCTTTTGCTGGCTTTGCTTTGTCTTTCCATTTTCACAAGGATCTTGATGTTGAACTAGGAGGAGACCACATTTTGGTATTCTACTATTTTTATCTCAAAGAACTCTAAGCTGTTTCTTGCCCTTAAATTCTTAAAGCCTCACTTTACAGCTGAGGTGAGGGTTAGAGAAGTTAACTAACTTGCCCAAGCTAGTCAGTGACTTCGGCCTGGTTTTAAAGACTGAATTTGTTTCCATACACGATGCGGCCTATGTCGGTTGGGACTGACTGAGTGACACCTAACAACAACAGCTACCCAGGAGCCCCTGAGTCAGCTAATCCCAGTCTTTCTGGGCCTCATTTCATCACTGATAACATGGATTCTTAGGCTCCATCTAGCTTTAATTTAACACGTCACACGGCCTATCGAATTCTACAGAGAATTTCCCACGTTGTCTTGCACTGGAAAAGAAAAAAGTTTCACCGATGAACCTCCCCTGCCACCAAGTGTGATGCGGGGACCCCTGTGCACCACTCACTGCCTTGGTGCAGCTGCTCCCTGCGGACCAGAGGGCGGGCTGCCTGCTGTCACAGAACACAGTCCTGATCCTGCATGGCTTTCCTTCCCCTGGCCGCTTGCTGCTCTCCCTTTCCCAGGCTGCACCACAGGGTCCAACACGAGGGCCTCTCAAAAGTGAGAGTCGCCTGCTCCAGCCAGCCACGTGGGAAGAGAGACTGACTCTTCTCCTGAACTGGCTGAGCCACTGCGGCTGGGATTGAGACCACATGGGTCCAGGAGTCAGTAGGGAAGGAGGCTTTGAGGGAGCAGGAGGAGGACTGAATATTTGTGTAACGACAATAAACAAAACAAAAAATGTTTACCAAATGGGGAAGGGCAATATTTATTATAAATAGCAAAGACTAAGCTGAGCATTACATGGAAATCCTCTTTCTGCTACAAAAACGAAACAAAACAACAAAGGCTTACTCATTTCTAACAGCTCCAGCATTCTTTGGGTAACAGAAATGCAAAGCGACTTGCTCCAAAGGGTCACAAATATGTAAGCCGTTTTATGCATGTGATTTTAACTTTAGAGTGAAGTCTTTTATGTGGCCTTGCCATTCTTTCCATAGTACTTCTAAAGTTAAAATTTGAGTGAAGTTAGATTTGTTTGATTCAGTCCCAAATAGTCCTCTTATCACCACAGTGGCAATGGGTGTAATTTACTATGGAAATAAAAGGAAGCATTTTTTTTCCGGTTAGCATTTTCCTTCACAGGTGATTGTCAAGGCCAACGGTCCTGTCATCGTTTCACACGACAACAGCCATCCCTCTGGATTTTCACTTGCCCCCTTATTCATGGAAGGGACAGGGTTTTGTTATATAAGAAAGGCAGTGGGCTCAATTGACATTTTATAACTGTCTGGGAGTATTTTAACCTGAATTTACAAATAGCCATTTCCTTGCAAGATTCCACAATCAGGACTTCAGAGAAAGTTAGTGGAGATCAGCTTTTTCTTAGGCCTGGGGACAATTTGGCAGAATATGGCGACAGAGACTTGCTCTGTGTGGGCCGCTAGACACCTGGCCCCTGTCCTCACCCACAGGCAGGATTCTGTCGGAAGGATGGCCACATACCTCGTCTTCCAGTCCTCTTCCGACTTGGACCTGCTTTTGCGGGCTGTTCTTTGTTTTTCCTCCAGCCTCTTCTTTTCTTCGCTGGCTTGATCTAAATAAAGACAGGAACATTAGTGGGAAGCCTTTCGTCTCTATTTGGGCAAGCCAGGCACAGCCCTATGGATGGTGCGTCACTGAGAAGCCCCCTCTGTGTGCATGAGCGCCGTCTCCACTGTACAGGATTCCAGGCTAGTGAGCGAGAGGGAGCTGGCACGCAAGACCCACCATCTCTCTCCACAACGACGCTCTTAACAAACTGTGAATTTAGCCACTGCCCCTTGGTCCGGCTTGCACTGGAAGGCACACCACCAGGGTCACCCACGGTGGACAAGCTCCAATGGATTTTCTAGACTGGTACACTCTGATTGACACCCTTCTTAAAATTAGCCCACAAGACCATGGCTCGCAAGAGAGTGCAATCTAAAGCTATGGGACAAGTGCCCTAGGTTGGGAGTCGAGAACAGGCTCACATTCTGGCAATGCTGAGGGTGCAGGGGTGGCTGAAGGCCTTGCTCTGTTGTGCATGGAGTCAACTCCGCAGCAACTAACCACCACCACCACATGCCTTTATAAAAAAGAACCGACTTATTCTTAGGTACAAAAAAATGACGTTACGATACCAGTGAAAACTTGGGTTGTAATGCACAGAGAGGACCATACGGCCGACCCCACTATGAGACACGGCATTCCTCACTGACCCATAGCCCCACAGGGGACAACACTAGAGACACAGTGTGGGAATTGCTCCTGATCTGACCCAACACACACAGAGGCAAAACACTAAGGGTGTGCAACCCAACAGCAAGGGGAGCAGAGCAAGGAAGTCCCGAGGGAGTACCATAAATAGACTTTGGGGACAGGGTGTGGCACCCCATCAGACTTGACCGGAAAATACTCCTAAAGGTCAAGAAACAGACCTTGAACTATTTACAGGCTTTTCTTTTTTTGTCATTGTTTTTTGTTGTGGTGGTGGTTGTTTTGTTTTCATTTATTACTTGGTTTTGCTGTGCCTTGTTTCTGTGCATATTATTACCTCTGCAGGATAAACAATCGAGGAGAAAACAACAGGACTGATGATTCCAGTGGGACATGGGAGAGGAGGAGGTGGGGGAAAGGAAGTGATATTAACAAACCCAGTGGCAAGGGAACAACAAGTGATCCAAAATCAGTGGCGAGGAAGGTGTGAGAGGCCTGGCAGGGATTCAGCCAGGGCAATGTAACCGAGAGGAATTACTGAAACCCAAATGAAGGCTGAGCATGATAGTGGGACAAGAGGAAAGTAAAAAGGAAATAGAGGAAAGAACTAGGAAGCCAAGGGTATTTATAGAGGTCTAAATACAGGCAAGTACATATGTAAATATATTTATATATGATGATGGGGAAATAGATCTATGTGCATATATTTATAGGTTTAGCATGGGCATTGGGCCTCCACTCAAGTACTCCCTCAATGCAAGAACACTTTGTTCTATTAAACTGGCATTCCATGATGCTCACTTTCCTGACACAATCGCTGAAGACAAATGGGTGCATAAGCAAATGTGGGGAAGAAAGCTGATGGTGCCTGGCTATCAAAAGATATAGTGTCTGGGGTCTTATAGGCTTGAAGGTAAATAAGTGGCCATCGAGCTCAGAAGCAACAAAGCCCACATGGAAGAAACAATCACAAGGTGTCGAAGGGATGAGGTAACAGGCAACAAAGAACAAAAAAAAAATCATATCATTGTGAATGAGGGGAGTGTGGAGTGGGGACCCAGAGTCCATCTGTAGGCAATTGGACATCCTCTTACAGAAGGGTCGAGGGGAGAAGACAAGCTAGTCAGGGTGCAATACTGGGAGGGTGGACGGAAGGTGGAACCCATTATGAGGATCTACATATAACCACCTCCCTGTGGGACGGACAACAGAAAAGTGGGTGAAGGGAGACATTGGGCAGTGTAAGACAAAATAATAATGATTTATAAATTATCCAGAGTTCATGAGGGAGGAGAGTGGGGAGGGAGGGGAAAAAATGAGGAGCTGATATCAAGGGCTGATATCAAGAAGAAAAAAAATGTTTTGAGAATGATGAGGGCAATAAATGTGCAAATGTACTTGACACAATGGATGTATGTATGGATGGTGATAAGAGTTGTATGAGCCCCCAATAAAATGATTTAAAAAAAAAGAGAAAGAAAACCTGGGTTAAAAAAACTGAATACAATGTGTCAAATTATTCTAAGTTTTTAGCGAGGCTTCATAGCTTCTAAAGATTTCCTTCTGAAGAAACAGAGTTTTCAAAACATCACCGCATTGTCTCATGGATCACTGGAAGAGACTCAAGAGTCTTTGGTTGGACCAGGGTTTCTCAGCGCTGCCGCTGCAGACATTCGGCGGCGCAGCAAGCGCTCTGCGGTGGGGGCCTTGCTGTGCATGCAGGACGTGGAGCAGCACTGTGGTCTCTAATTACTGGATGTCTTTCTCTGGATAAAACCCAAGTCCTCAGATACGACCAACTGAAGTCTTCAGACATCCCCAAATGTCTCCTGGGGGGGAAAAAACCATCCCCCAGCGAACCACAGAGCTCAAGGACAGGTGTGGGTAGAAGGCATCTAACCCTTCAGTAAACCAAAAACCAAATCCACGGCTACCGAGTCAACTGCGACTCACAGCAACCCTTTCTGGTTTTCTGAGGTTATGAAGGGAGAAGACAGCCTCCTCTTTCCCTGTTCAAGTGACTGGTGGGTTTGAACTGCTGACCTTGTTATAATTCATCTAGAGGTGGCTATCCTCTCCATTGAAACAGCAGGCTGATAAGGTGAGATGGTCATTTTTCAGCATACAGTGAACTAACTAGAATGCCATTGAAACATGCTATTGTCTCTTACCATAGGCCATATCTGACATTGCCAAGGGAATGCCACTCAAACAGTAAATTCATATTCCTGATGAGCCACCGAGACTGACCTCCGGTCGCCAAGGGAAGAGGAAGGAACCAAAGAGACAGGCGTGCATAGAAGAACCGTTGGGAGACCGCAGCGCCGGGACCACGGCGATGCTCGCTCCGCACTGGAATGACTCAGGTGGCCTCCCTGGAGGCCCCGACGCTCCTGCTGCCATCAGGAGACACGAGTTACCTATTTCTCCGTTTTCCATCGCTCGTATGTCCGGCCGTAACCTGCAGTCCGTTTTAGGAATCACACTCTCCATTTCTTTGTCTACTTCGTTCAGCACCATTGCGAAATTGGTGAAATTATACATCTGCAAAGAAGGAAGAGCCTCGAGTGAAGACCCCTACGCCATCGAGCCTGATGAGAAGCCCTGACTGTGGCACAGGAGTGAGGTGGCCGGGGGCCCCACCCCATTTGCTGGTGGCAACCATATCAGCCTTTCTCTGACGGCATGTTTCAGCTTGGTCTGCTCCAGCAATGGGGGTGGGTCACCGCCATTTCAAAGCAGGCCTCCCCCTGCCAACTTGACGCAGAGGCATAAGCGGGATCCACATTCTGTCTTCCTAAAGACCGTGACTCACTGGGTCTGGGGAGCTTATGCTGAAGCTTAGCCCACCCTCTACTAAACAGGGCCAGTCTTCCTCCCGAGTAATTAGTAAGAAGCCCCAGGACGAAGGCCCCCCCCAGCACACCTTTCCCACCTTGATACTCTTATCAAGTGCCCTGGGTCTCAGGGCGGGGGGTGGTGGGGGTGGCACAATGGGCACACAAAAGCCAGCAGAGGGAGGAGAGGGCCATTCTAGACAACCTGCCCCCAGGACAGAGCTGGCGCCTCCCAATCAGAGGCCAGCAAGGCTGCTGCTGAATGAGTGCAGTCTCACCTGGGCTGAATTGGGAGGCCGTGGGGCTATTCGCCACTGGAGAACACTTCCAGGGATCACAAAAACGCTTTCCGAATCTGGCACTGGCATCTCGTCGGACTCCTCTGAAGAGCTCATCTACAGGACCCAACACACAGAGACTGGAAGTCAGACGCCTGAAGTGGCTGCCCCTGCTAATTGCCAACGAGTGGCACGTATGGAGGACACCGCGGCCACCTTACTCCTCCACTCCGATCTTTCCAGGGTGGTCCGAGACACTTGGGATCAATGTTCTCAGCCCCATGGCCTTCTGCAGCCCCTCAGGTAGTGCTACCTCCTTTGCCACCATCCTCCTTCCCACAGCGCATGCAGGCTCATCATCATCATCATCATCTCCATCTTCACCATCACCATTCCTTACAGCGGTGTGTGACAGCTGCTCTGACTCCTCTGTTATACAGACAACATGCCTCCTGGGAGGGGTGCGGCGCAACTTCCCAAAGCCTCCTGCAGGCAGACCAGAGAGGTCCAGGCACCGGCCGACTCCAGGGACGTGACACCACCCGGGGAGGCAGAGCCAACGCATGGAACGTTCTCAGAATTACAAAAGCCTAAATTCTGCTGCGAGTTTACTGAATTTGTCAACGATCCCACACTAGGAGGGACTTTGAATGTTGGAGGGGGCTTCACAATAGTTCATTGAAAAATCCCATCATCTTTTCATTCCATTTGTCCCCGTGGTCTTCTGGAAGCCCCCTGGCATCTATCAAAGGGACTCAGAAAGAAGGGGGCTCCAAGGGGGCTGCACTCATTGCCTCTGGCCAACCCCTGTGGGCCAGGGCCGCTAGCAGTCGGAACTCATCCCCCAGCACCCAATGACCAGGTGGGCCAGGGCCTCTCTGGGTGCTCGCCATACTCAGTCCTCATGCCATGACCCTACCGGTAGGTAGATATCGTCACCCTGGCTTACACCTGAGAAATTCAAGGCTAAAAAGTTAACTATTCCCAAGGTGGAATTGTTATCAGATTTTGAACTGTGGGCGAAGAACTTTCAGTGAATATATAGTTGAAGAAACCATCGCGGAGCGAAGTCAGTTGGGGACGAAATAGCTAGAGGCTGTAAGGGCACAGAGGGCAGAGGGCTGAGTGGTTAGCAGGGTTGGGTGGGGGGCAGGGGAGGGGCCCTACCGATGGGACTGCGTGCCTGTGTGGGGACAGAGGGGAGGAGGGCACCGTGCAGAACTGTTGCCAGCATCGCTGAAGCCAACATCTTAAAAATAGCGACAAGGGGCACATGCTTTGCTGTGCATATGTTACAATTAGGATAAAACAAAACAAAGCAAACACCAAACTGCAGCAGGAGGAGGTGATGACAGTGATGAAACATCATCAATAAATAAAAACAAAACCCATATCGTCCCAAGTCATGTGACCCTGCCCCGAGCCCCAAACAGCAAGGGCAGATAGAGGGCGCACAGGCAGGGCTGAGAAGACAAGGCGTGCCTGTGGTGGATGGCTCCCGCCGAGGAGGGGCCATGTTTTCTGCACAGATTAGCAGAGGAGTTCAGGAACATGAGGGCTCCTTTCTGAAAGTGCGCCCATGCCCCTCCCTGTGCCAGCCCTCTGTGAAAGGCAGGTGGGGGGGCAGGGCGGCGCAGGTGGCCAGCTGCCTTGTGTTGGCAGCAGCTGCTGCCAGGGAGCTCTGCTCAGGGCTCCCTGGGCCTGGACCGGTTCCTTACCAAGCCCTGTCAGGCCCCTCACAGCTGCAGGGAGCCATCGATACCCTGGGACTCGGAAAAAGCAGCCGGGAAACTTGGGCCATCAGGGGAACTGGAAGCTGTGTGTAGGGTGGTGACGGGAGGGAGGAAGAGAGAGGGAAAGAGGCAGCGCCTAAGCAGGCAGGCTTCTCCGGTCACTGTCAGACCCTGCACGTCAGGGCCAGGGCTGAGTCCCTCAGGGGTGGCCCTGTTTTTTCAGGAATACTACAACTTCTGAGACTCCAGCAAACAGAAGAACCACCAAAGAGGCCCACAGCTGGTGCCTCAGAGGCCCGAGGCGAGGCCTGAGTTCCTGGCATTGTGAGCAAGCTCCCAGCATACTTTGCACAGAAAGGGCAAGCTTAATGTTCTGATGAGCCGGGTGCTCTACGGAGCCCTTCCCAGGGGTGAGCTCATCCAAAGGCCGGGGCTATTATTAGCTCTAGCTTCCAAACGAAGGGACGGGCAGAGAAGAATCGAGAGATTGGCCTACGGCTGCCCGGGTTTTGAGGGCTGGAGATGGGATCCTTACCCAGAGAACATGCTCCTCCAGGCACCGGAGGGTCACCAGGACACCTACCAAGAGTCCCTGTCCCAGCAGCTGCAGCCTTCCTTTAGCTCGCCCCACTTCGGCAGGGAGGGCAGGCACAGGTCTGTGGGATCGCAGAGCCTTTTGGGGGCCACCCAGCAAGAAGCTATGTGGCAGGCACATGGAGGGAAGCTATCAGGATATTCCAAAACCCCAAACTCACTGCTGTTGAGTCGATGTTGAGTGACAGTGACCCTCTGTGGGTGTCTGAGACGTAACTATTTATGAGAGCAGAAAGCCTAGTCTGTCTCCCACAGAGCTGCTGGTGGTTTGAACTACTGACCACGTGGATCGCAGCCCAACCACCACACCGCCAGATATTAACTGTCCCCTAATGAGACAGGTCAGCAAAGGAAGGAGAGCAGCCCAGGGGCGACTCACTCACTGTTAACTACGATGGCTGGAACTGCAGCGCTTTGCGATTGGGAGGAAGGGACACCAAACCAACAAGCAGTGTGACCGTGCTAGGGAATAATTGCAGGGCAAGTCTCAGACATCTCCAAAGGATCTCAAAGTCAAATGCACGGAAGCAGAAAGGAGGAAAACCAAGTTGGTGTCACTCAACGCCCACTTTCCCAAAGCGCCCTGAAAGACCCCCAGCCTCATCTCTACTAGTTAGGCAGGTGGCACATACTCCTACCCATTCAAAAGTTCTGTCCGGAACCAGAGTGTCAGGGTGGGACAGGGAGAGCCACTGCTTTGGGGACCCTGGACTTCGGTTAGGGGGTGACGGGAAAATACGGATGGAGAATGGGCACAGTGGAGCTCTGCGACCAACACAATCAATGCCACCGGACTGCACACGTGGACAGTGGTGGGTGGCAAACGTTTTGTTAAATGGATACGAGGGGGCTTTAAAACGTGGGCGTGGGAAATCCCACTGTCCTGCCGCTCCACCTTCCCATCTATTTTTGAAACCTCTTTGTATTTATCACCGAGAGAGAGAGATGACTGATTGATTGATTCAGAGAGGACAAGTCCATGCACTAGCCACCCGTGACCCAGGAGCAGGTCGCTTGGGAAAGGATTAGCCCAAATGAGGGTGGGCTGTTCCTTCGTTCGAGACCACCTTGTGGAGGGCTCACCTGCTTGCTGTTCTTCTTCTCCTCCGTGTTTTTCTTATCGTTCTTTTTGTAAGCGTCGAAAGTGGTCAGGTCAACACTGTATAAACACTCGGTCCACTTTCCGTAGAGGGCACAGAGCTTCTTTTTGCTGCCGAGAGAAGAGGACGGTGAGCCAACTCGTTAACTTTGCTGGCATCGAATATCACTAGAAAGAGCGTCGTGAGCCAGATTCTTTCCAGAAATACGCGCTTATTTCTGTAGAAGAAAGATTTTCAACCGGCTCATCGGGGGACGCCGGCAGACTCTGAGAGGAGCATTTTCTTTTATTACTGCTGCTTCTCTGTCACTGTCATGGCCATCTGCCGGTGCGTCCACGCACAATGGAACAAAAACAATACCTATCCTGTTCCGCCATGATCCATGTCGTTCTCACTGGCTGGGCTTCAACGGGAGACTGCTAGAGGCCTGTCTTCCATCCGTCTGAGCGTCAAAGCCCAGCTGAACGCTGTCTGCCATCACCAGCAGCAGCCCACCAGCCTCCCAGCGGCAACCACGAGGTACACTGTCTGGGTGCCCACATGGAGGCGAGAATCCCACCCAGGGACCACCCTGGCCCCCACAGCACCTTTTAACTTACTGGCTTGAAAAGTGAAACCTTACCTTTTGTCTTGAATGTAGCCTTCGACTTTGTGTAATTCCTTACCAAAAAGGCCACATGGCTTAAAATTCAAAACACACTTGTCCCCAGTCCTAGGAAGGAAAGATGAAGTTCACATCGCCATTCAACACCACTGAGGCCACGAAAACTAACCGACAACCTTCTCGCAACAGTGGCTACCTCCTGACGTTCCAGCCTGTGTGTCAGGCTCGGGGGGAAGGGACGCTTTGTCCTTGGTCAGGGCTACACCCAGCCCCACGGAGAGCTCGGTGAGGCTCACAGAGGACAAGGAACTTGCCACAAAGTGGGGCCTGGCACCAGCTCTTTTGAACGCTTCTGTGCCCCCTTCCTCGTGTGGGTCCCACAAACCGGCACAGCTTAAGCAGGACCCTGGGAGATGGCGACTGAGTGTCACAGGAGGGGAAGCTCAGCATTTATCTCATCTCCCTTATCAGACACTCAAACAACCCTGTTTGCAGCCCCTACCTCCAGAGGAGCTGCTGTTTCCTTGTGGGCTCGATCGTCTGGATCTTATATTTTCATTAGACTTTTCCAGCCCCACCCCCACCCCCCCGCACCCCAGCATCCCCTCCTTGAAGCCCACTGCCACCACGCCATTAAAGCTGACGATCTCCTGCGGGCCCCCAACCTACTTGTGGTTTGTGATTTCCATGGTGCCATACTGCTCAATCCAGAGTTTGCCCACGATGATATTGTGCACACAGCAGGTGGGGTTTGTCCACGTGTACGCTTCGTTGTGCCTGCGCGATAGAAACGGGCAAGGAAGCGAGACGTCTCAGTTCTGTCTGCAACACCACTGCTCATGCAAGCGGAGCAGACGGCTGGACATCACCCAGCCCCAGAGCCCACGGGCCCTCGACCCCAACTCACGCACAGTGAAGTGTGGGTCTGTGGGTGGGGTGGGGGCTGTTGCCTGGTCCTCGCTGTTTCTTAAGAGAAAGCAAATGTGTGATTGAAAAAATGTGTGGGCTTCTACAGAACTCCAAATAAACTACATATTGCCCCAAACGTGGTGAAATCAAAGTTAAATGTGAGGCAGAAAGGAAGAGCGAGGCTCCTCTGGCCAGCTAGCGGGCTGTACATCTCTCTACTTGTCCCGAACTTCTCTTACTTAGGGTGGTCTCACGGCAAAGAGGTGACAGGAGGGAAGGAGAGGAAAGTAGCAGGGATGCTGAGACTCTGTGCACCGCAGGCCCAGAACCCAGTGAAGGAGATGGATAGTTCGTGTGTTTTAGGTACCGGGTGGGGCCGCCCACACGCCATCCCTGGAGAAGTGGAACAAGAGTTGCTTTGGGGCAAGGACTGAGGGAAGGGGCAGCAGCACTTCCCTCCCCACCTTCTCCACCCTGCAGGGCCCGTCTTTCCAGAACCCATGCAGATGGTGGGCTTTCTGTCCACGTCTACGGCCCGGCTCAGGGATCTGGGCTACCCCGAGTCTCTGGTGGGAGGCGCAGGAGGGAGACGTCAAACCAGGGCACTCACTCCTGTGTCAGGTTGTGAGTTTTCTCCCCGTGTGTCTGCAGCTCGTCACTTTTCAGAGAAGGCTCCTGTCGTCCATGCAAGAGTTCCTCTCGTCAGAGTGGGAGATGGGAGGGTGTGCTTGTTCTCCCTTTTTTTTTTAAATTTCAAATTGCGTTGGATCAATGAACATTTGTTATAATTTGAAGTTCACATGCATTTGCTTTTTATAAGAGATATCGTGCAAGAGCAATGTGTAAAGGATTCATGAAAATTTATTTATTGAATATAGTTGAAGTTTTAGCCCTCTGATTAATATTTAACAGTTTTTTTCCTTGGGGTAGCTTTAATGTAAAGTAGCATATAATAAGGTTTTGGTTTCTTGCTATTGAAGTATGAAGATTTTCTTTGATTTCTCTAATTCATTCTTTGAATATATCTGGCTTCCAGGACAGGATGGATTGGGCTTGTCAAACCATGTGATTTTGAAAAGACTGATGCCCAAGTGTTATTTCCCTGTAAAATATTATAAGTTCCTGACAATTTGAAATTTCATTGAAAGTCTCAGTGGTTTTTACTTACTACGTTATAATTTGTTTTAATTGCTGACTTGGTCACAGCTTCCTCTCTTGAATCTAGCCATGTACCTATAAACTGAATCCCGGTGTTTCGTTGATGGTTTGACAACATAAGTGACGCTTTAAGAATGAGATTAGCCAATGCGCATGAGGATATTCGGTAAAGTGAAATGACTTGGTATGTATTAGGTTCGCTGCAAAGAGAAACTGGGGCCAGGCCAGAGAGAAGGAAAAGGAGCTTCCGGACGAGAGAGAGGAGAGGGGGTGGGAGGGGAGGAGAGAGAGAGACACAGGAGCCCTGAACTCCAGAAAGAGCTCCACGGCCCCCAGTGGGGGACGGAGAAGTCGTCTTGTTCTCTATGATGGGTCTTACAACTGCCTTCGACTTTGGAGCCCAGTGTTTTATATCTGCTCCCCACACAAGAGGACTTGCAACTCCCCTACTTGCGACGCCGTGTGGACTATCACAAGGAAGCCATTCTGAAAGCTGGCTCACAGATGGAAACGCTGACAGGCTGGCATCTACAAAGCCTGTCTCACAAGCACGGCCCCAGAAGGATAAACCTGCTTCTCTCGGAAGACAGCTCCAAACACCGCCGCCAAGCATCAGGCTAAACCTCTAACACAGACTCGACTGACTAACCACTGTGGTTATAGATCACTTACACTCCGTTAAGGCTTCCCCTGCCCCCCACCTTTTGACGAGAATGCCCGGTCTGCGTCGGTGTAGAAGCAGGCATTCATGGAAAGAGTTCAAAGGCTCAATTCCAACTTACTCAAGGAGCTCCAGGGTGATGGTCCCTTTGGGCTCTGCTTCGACACTCTTGCCCCAGAACTTGAGTTTGGGATAGATGGAGCCATGGAAGATGAAGTCATTGTTCAATCCTTCAGCGTGAAATGCACTAATCGGGGGGTGATGGCTGACCTGTTCGGAGATGAGTCTGAACCCAAGGTCATCTCTTAGAAAAAAAAAAGGAAGTTGCATTGTAGTTAACTCCAGTATTGAGCATGCACATCCTGGCTGGCGGTCAAAGGGAAAAGTACTACAGAGTGACGTCAGTGCGACCAAGCAGATCACCCCTCTTCCTGGTGACCCTGGTGCATGAACAGCTCAGGACACAGATCTGAGACATGGGACAAAGGCAACCCGAACGATTACATTCAATGGAATTAGCATTCTGTCGACTGGAACACTTCGGAATAAAGAAGACGGTGAACTTTGTGGTTTGCACGAAATCGTGCTCTGAGCCATGCCAGTGTGAAGTGTGTGTTGTGTTTGTTGGGTACCCCTGAGTTGGCTCTGGCCCATAGGGACCCCGTGCCCAACAGAAGGAAGCTCGCCCGGGCCAGTGCCATCTTCACAGCTCTTCCCAAAAGGTAGGGCCCGCGTATATGGAGACAGAGAAACCCCATGCCTCCTCTCAAATAGGTCGGGCAGGGATGAGATCCCCACCTGTGCAGAGAAGACCAGGGCCCACGAAAGTTGAACCCAAATGAATTCCCTTACTGTGTGTGTACACTGGACCCAGGGTGGAGGCAGCACACAGAACCACACCAAAGAGGCAGTCGCTCCCTTATGGCAACAGCAAAAGTTGATGCTGACATGCTTTGTATGATTAATTAATAAAAATCCAATCATGTCTTCTGATCAACAGAAGGGGAAAAGGAGGATGAATAAACCTATCCAGTCAGCAATATCCAAACCTTTGTGCTTAATTGCTTTCCACCACGGGATTTGTTATGCATGTTTTAATAAGAAGGAAGGAGTTATAAACACTGAGACCATGAACTTGCTCCAGCCATTCAGAGTTGGTTCGGGTGCCTCTCAGATTAGGCTATTTTCCTCTTTTCCCTGAGAAGAAAGGGAAGTCATGTGACTGCAACACGGAATGCAGCAGACGCGCTCACCGGACCAGCTCATAAGTCTCTCCCAGCAGCGGATTGAAAGGCTTGCCAGTCCGATCCCACTGAGAAGCCACCGCCGACACAGCAAACGCAGCCACGCTCTGTGGGACAGAGAGCAAGGGACACGTGAGCCACCCCCGCTGCCTCTCGGTCTTCAGGGACTGAGACCTTGTGCGGGCAGCGATGTACACAATCATTTCGAGGAGCTGGAATTCTTGGAATTTTTTTTTTTAATATTTTATTAGGGGCTCATACAACTGTTATCCCAATCCATACACACATCAGTTGTGTAAAGCGCATTTGTACATCGTTTCTCAAAACATTTTCTCTCCACTTAAACCCCCGACATTAGGTCCTCATTTTTCTCCTCCCTCCCCGCTCCCCCCTCCCGCATGAGCCCTTGATAGTTTATAAATGGGTATTTTGTCATATCTTGCCCTGTCCGACGTCTCCCTTCATCCACTTTTCGGTTGTCTGTCCCCCAGGGAGGAGGTCACACACAGTTCCATGTAATCGGTTCCCTCTTCCCTACCCATTCTCCCTTTACCCTCCCTGTTTTGCCACTCACACCACTGGTCCTATAGGGCTCATCCATCCTGGATTCCCTGTATTTTCAGTTCCTATCTGTACCAGTGAACTTTTACTAGGGCTCTAACAACTGAACAGGGAAACCTGAATGTTGAGCACACAGGTTAAGTTGACTCTCCTTCCCCTCAGGCTCGTCCCACCCTCTTGGGTTTTAGGGAATCCTAGATGATATGAATTTTCTCAAGGACTCTTTTCAGTTCTCAAGTTCAAAATTACAATTACGTTAATTCATGAATTTTTTCCTTTTTTAAGTACCACACTTTCAAGACAGGGGCTAAGGAGTACAAAACAATGACACTGATGTCAAGGCCAGTGGGGGACAAACAGAAAGATTCTGTTTCGGATGTAAGTGCTTTGTTTGCGGGTGAATAATGTGTCCATTATACTCTGTCTGCATCACACCCAGCCACGTATATCACAAAAGATCTTCTATTTAAAAGTACAAGTCCTTGTTGTAATGTATAGCACTATGTATATGCGGGGGCTTCAAAACGTTCATGGAAAAATGCATTCTCTGTCAATTCCATTTTTCCATAAACTTTTTCCAGACCCTCATCAAACGTACAAACACAAGTATTTATTTATATGCACATATAAGCATACACATGTATGTTTGTACACGTGTGCATATTCCTTTCTTCTTGGACACATGCTGAGGATTCGGGAGAAGAAAGGGTGAAGTTTTACCCTGACAACATTCCAGCACTAGTTCTAAAGTTCAGGCTTAGACATGGTCTTGCCCTGCCTGCCTTGGGGAAGCCCCGGGACCAATACTAGAAGCTCCTCGTCTAACATGATGTGCATGTTTCCCTTGCGGCCCTGGTTCACGCTGGGACTCCCACTGGTAGCTGGGAGGCTACTGACACGCCGCCAACCACGTTTTGGTGACATTTTGCTGTGACTTCCCATGTCTTTTATCTTTTTTAAAATTGAGAGTTATTACAGACATCATATCATTTCACAGTTCAGTCACATCAAGCGGTATTGTACAATTGCTGCTACAACCAGTTTCCAAACATGCTTTTCCTTCTGGGACTCCTTGACATCGTCTGTCCCGGTTACCGTCCTCCCGCCCCCATCACCACGACTATCCCCCCACCTCCAGAAACCCTTAATTCACTTGCTGTCCCTCTAGGTTCATCAATCCTGGGCTTCATCTCCCGAAAACCAGAAAAACCTACAGCACACCTTCAAGAGGGTAACCCCCAACGACATAACACCTCTGAGATAAACACTAATATGAACAAACAAACAAAAAATACAGCAAGTATGGAAAATCTGATCAGGTCAATGCATCAGAGGGGGAATCAACCAAGCCCTGTGTCTCACCACACCCTTTGGACCCCCAGTGACCAGACTAACAGTCCTTCTTCTAGATGCAGTGTTTCTGTAGTTGTCTTGTCCGTGTCCCATGTAAGACTTAGCAAATGTCCTCGTTTAAAAAAAATATATAGAAAAAACAAAGAGAGAGTTTGAAGCAGCTACCCAGTATGCAAGTTGAGTTCCTGGGCTGCCTCCCGCTTCTCTCTCCATTCTCAGTCTCCTCAGCTTCTGCCTGTGCCTAGAAACTAGCAGAAGAAGGGGAGCAGGGGGCACTCCAGCTGTGCTCCCCAAGTTTGAACCTTGTCCAGCCTCGATGCTCACTTTGTGCTGGGACTGGGGAGAAGGAAGTCCCCGCCGGCTCCAGGAGTCTCTAGCGCAGTGTTTCTCAACCTTCCTCATGCCGCCACCCTTTCATGTGGTGGTGACCCCCAAGCATAACATTATTTGTGTTGCTACTGCCGAACTGTAATTTTTCTACAGTTATGAATTGGGTGACCCCTGTGAAAGAAGGGTTGTTCGGCCCCCAAAGGGGTCGTGACCCACAGGTCGAGAACGGCTGCTCTAGAGAATTACATCTTTCCAGTGACACATACCTGCATCCTCTCCATGGGATCCGAGCAGGAGCTGGCCTTGTGGATGAGGTATGTGTGCTCCATGTACTCAGCCAGTCGCTGCAGGAAACTCAAAGGCTCATTAAATATCACTGGCATCGTGATCTTGGATAGCTCCTATGTAACAAGAAAACAGGACTGTTACGTCCAATACACACAGCAAACCTACAGCTTTCTTTACACACCATGCTCCTGGCAAGGAGGTACACGGAAGAAGAGCACACCCCAGGCCATTTAGTTAGTATCAGTCCAATCCCATACATCTTTGCTGAACATCATTCCATGCAGGGGGTTGTGCGCTAAGCCTCAAAGGAGACACAAAGGTGGCGCAGACCCAGCTGTGACGTGGGGAGCTCCGAAGCTGGGCGTGGGCATGGCATGAGGAGGGTAGTAAGGCCCCCAAACTTCTCCACCTCGGATCAGAATTAGGAGATGGGTGGGGAAGGGGAGGGGGCCACAAAATGCCACAGTCTTCCCAGGGGGCTAAGATCGACCTGATTGCTTGCAAGTAATTTTCCAAAGGAAATTTCAAACGACCAATCTCTCTCTCTCTCTCTCTCTCTCTCACACCCCCTGCTGTGCCCTTTGGAGCACACCAACTCCAGCAGGATTCTGGCTGAGAGCCCTAGGGTGCTCTCCTGTACAGTACAGGACACACTTTTAAGTGATGTACATCACTATCACCTGTCACAAATAACGGGCTAACTTTCCAATCTCCCCTCCCCCTGCAGCTCCCCTTCCTGGTGAGATGTCTGTGGGATACATGGGGGGGGGGGCAGGGGAGTGGACAGTCCCAGTTTATTGTCTTAAGACATACTCTTTCTTTTAATGTGGTCTCTTGGCGGGGTTGGTTGGGAGCAAGAAAAATCACTAGGGCAGCTGTGGTGATACTGAAAACTGACAAGTGTCTTTCTGAAACAAAGAACCAGTCCCTCCAAAATAATCATAATCATAATCATAATCATGATGACCGGGGAAGGGCCTCTGGCCTGAGCAATAACTTTTCAACACCATGTGTCAGGGACAAGCCAGCCATAACGTGACGGTCTTTCAAAATTTCAGCAAATAACCAACTTCCCTTGTTCTTATCTGGTCAGTAAAGGACTATTCCGTTTCCCCAACCTTCCACTTGCCAGTATTGAACTTGCCCTTAGTGGCTAGGTCTTCCATGAAGCCTGCTCGCTCAAGCCATGTGGTCACGTGGACAGTCAGGGCTGAATGACCCATGAATATTCTGCCGCCCCCCTCCCCCCAGCAAAACGTTCCTCTTTCTGACCTACACAATCAAAACTAATGTACCCTTCACACAACTACAAGTAGAGCATATTTAAAAGAAAATAAGCTCATCCGTTCCCATAACGTATTGCAGAATAAAGACAAACATGTATCGGCTAACCTAATTAAAATAAATGGGAACTTTATTTATTGTTGCCTTACTAAAGAGACTAAGGGGTGGAAGAATCCATAAAGATTCTTTGTACACACTACAAGCTCATTACAAGTAGAAATCCATGGCTGGGGAGAGGCCGGGAAAAGTGGGGATCCTTGTCATAACTGAGCCGCCCTGGTCCGTACCATGCTCACCACCACCTTCTTTGAGCTAAAAGCTCTGCTTTACTTGCTTTTGAAAAAAAAAAAGATATACAACTCTGCGCATAACATTGCATAACACGGAAGGACATGAAAACACAGCTTTGATTCCCCAGCCTACTCTTCCCTCAGAGGGAAAGCACCACCAACTGTTTGGAATATATTATGTATCTCTTCAGAGGTACATTTACATATTATTTTGTTTTTAATTGTATGGGATCAGCTCCAAATATTGATTACGACTTGAATTTTTCCCCTTTCCCTTGTGTTCTGCAGGTCCTTCCATGTCCCTAGATGCAGGCTTATCGGTCCTTTGTAACGGCTGGTAGCACAGTAATAAGACTGCCGAGTAAGGCTGAGTACCACTGTAGGATGTCCCAATTATAACTCCCTGTGTAAACCGGATTAAGCTAAGCTCTGTGTATTCTTTATCAATTATATGAGGCTCATTTAATAGTTTATCTCACAATCTCATACACATGAGGGAATTTTTATTTCAAATCTTTGTATTTAAACTTTTTTTTAAAAACAACCCTATCACTTCAAAGTACTCTCCATTACACTTAATATTTGTCAAATCTGCAATTCCATTCTTGGAAACACTTCTCTAACTTATCTGTTTGGATGGCTGACAACACCTCTCTCGTTTTTTTCTTCACCTCTTCTAAGTTGTCAAATCGCTGTCCTTTCATGTCCCTCTTCATTTGTGGAAACAAAAAGAAGTTGCATGGAGTGAGGTACTGTGAGTATGGTGTGTAGGGCAAGAGAGTCATGCTGAATTTTACCAAAAAGTGGTACACTAAAATGGCTGTGTGAACAGGTGCATTGTTGTGGTGGCAATAGCTACCAGAAGACCCAAAACAAACAAACAAAAAAACCCAAACATATTGTTGAGAATGAGGGGGGTTGGAGCAGAGACCCAAAACCCAACTGCAGACAATGGGACACACCCTCACAGAAGGGTCACAAGGATAGGATGAGTCAAGCAGGGCGCAGTATAGCACCGATGAAACACACAATATTCCTCTGGTTCTTTGAGGCTTCCTCAACCACCATCATGACCCAGGACTGCCTTTCAGTTCTGGCTAGACCAGAGCATGTACACTGGGACAAGTAAGAGCTTACACAAACAGAATCCAGGTCAGATAAACCCCTCAGGAACAGAAATGTGAGCAGAGATACCAGGAGGGCACAGGGAAGGTGAGGGAGGAGAGGAGGAAGGGGGACGAACAACAGAAACTTGGGGGAAGGGAGACAGCAATTGTAAGATATGAAAATAATAATTTATAATTTATCGAGGGGTCACAAGGGTGGAAGGGAAAAAAGAGAAGCTGATACCAAGGACTCCAATAGAAAGTAAATGTTTAGAAAATGATGAAGGCAACATATGTACAAATATGCTTGATACAACTGATGTATGGAATGTTATGAGCTGTAAGAGCCCCCTATAAAATGATTGAAAAAAAAAAAAAGATGGCCTTCAAGTAGAGTAAGATTTTGGGGTCATTTAAAATTTTGACAGCTACTACTAAGTGAAATGGCTTCGAAAGTGTTTCTTGCTTTCTGTTCTCAGCAACACCACATGGGGTCAGAGTCTCTCTCATCACTGCAGAGAGGTGCGTTGTTTATCATCTAGGCAAACGCGCAACAGATCCTTAACTGAGGACCTGCTCTGTGCCAGACCCATTTCAGGCTCTCATTAGAGCCAGTCCTAACTTGGCGCCCACTCCCTCTGTCCTTGACACGCTATGTCTCTCAAGGCCCAGGTCAAGTCTCTTGCCATGGATCGAATAGTATCCTCCTCCATTTCCAAGTCCACATAGACCCTTCAAAACAGGGTCTTATTTGGAAACAGGGCCGTTGCAGATGTAAATCAGATAAGGACCAAGAGAAGCTTATGCTGAATTATGGTAGACCCTAAATCCAAAGAAAGGGGCCCCTTATAAGATACAGCAAAAACACAGAGGGGGAGGGAGAGACCGGTGTGCTGCATCTACACGCCAAGGAACGCCAAGAATGTCCAGCACCCACCAGAAGCCAGGAGAGAAGCCTGGGGGCAGATTCCACCTTAGCGCCTCCAGGAAAAACCAGCCTTGCCAACGTCCACATTTCAGACTTCTGTCCTCCAAAAGTACGAGAGGCCACACTTCGGTGTTTGAAGCCCAGTGTGTGGTCATTTGTTATGGCCGCCTCAGGAATGTATGCACTCCCTCTCCCATATCCAGTCTGGCTTCCTTCCTTCAAACCCTGGAGTATCAGAATCTGTTGCTCAAGTAGCAGTGATCACAGTGCATTGTCCTGTCCACTGCTATGTTGTGGGCATTCACCAGCTGACTATCTTGCTGACGATTCAAGTCCAGGGCAGTTCTGGAGAAGTTTGACACTCAAGGGTGTCGAACTCAACTAAAATCCTGGCCATTTGGTGCAACAAGCAAGATTCACCCAGGCCACATCACATTCACAAATTTTGTTAAATTTATATTTTGAAGTGAGGATTCAGGAATATGGTTAGGATAATTGAAACACTATATAACTGTTTTTATTTAAACATTTATTTAATGTATTTATAAAACTAAAATGATTCTTTTTTACCTGAAACTTGCCAGCGCTTTCCTCCTACTAGTTTTCGCTTACCTCTTATGTTGTGACCGGAAAATATAACAAAGTAACTAATAAAAAACACAAAATGTTGGACAGCTGACAAACGTGATGCACAATCGTAATGGCTTCCCTCTAAAGATGTAAACTAGCGCTGCCCCCGCCAAGTAGGATTCATAACAGCACACCCCAGAGTGCTCGTTTTAACCTTTTCGTTATTGGGATCTGTTTACATTAAGTGACATTGAGCGTGGCAGACACGTCGCTGGATCGGAGTCAGCGTGTTTATCCACGTCCACAGGCCCCCAGGAAAGGCACTGGACCCTGTGTCTACTCGTCTTCAGTAGTTAAAGGGCTAACGAGGGAATTGTGTGTATGGTGTTGCCTCGATCTCCTCTAAGGGCTATTTCCTTCATAACAATTTTTTCTGTTTTTGTTTTATTTCAGAGCATTGCGGGCCACAAAAAATTATGGGCCACCAGTTTGACACCCGTGTATTGGCACCCCTCACGCAGAGAGGGCCACACTGCAGACGCTCCCCCGCCCCACCCCGCCCTGTGTTTACTCCTCTCAGCTCCAGTTGCCTTGCGCTGTACTTCCTTCTCTCCTTCCCACAAGCCCCTCGGAGAGAAGATGCTCTTTTGGGGAGATGAATAGTTACCATGGCAACCTACTGAAGAAAAAAGTAGGTTACAGAGTGACATGTTCAAAAATGATTCTAATTTTGTTCAGTTGATGTTTCTGCACACCCAGAAACAAATATCAGAAGGTGGCAACACCCAAAAAAGTTAACAGTGGCAATCTTGAGGAGCTGGTGACAGAGGTGATTTTAATTACTTTCTTTATGCTTTTCTCTATTTTCTGAAATGAACATGTATTGCTTTTCTAAACAGGGTCAGAGCAAGCCAGATGAATGAAATATGTACCCC